TTCCTGCTTTCAGCCCTGTATTTTCGAATTCGAACGAGCGATGGCGCTTGCGTGAAAACGCGCGCGGCGCGGCGCGAATTCGCCGGCGGGAGAAAATTTTCGGCGAGCGTTCCAGGTGCCGTGTTACCGCCGTGGGTTAGCGCTGCCGACCAGCGCTCTGCTTCACTAAAACCCTATCTGTGTGTGTGTGTATTTAGCCTACTTTTTTGGCTGGTGCGGATGGAGGATCTAATCCTGTGAGGGGGACAGGTCCTACATCCGTACCTGTCCCCCTCACTCCTCTATCACGAGGGAACGAGGGAGGGACACACACACACACACACATACACACACACACACACACACACACACACACACACACACACACACACACACACACACACACATAAACTCTCCCAACCCGACCCCCCACCCGCACACTCAACCCCCACACATACTCACAGATACACACACACAAACAAAGCCCCTAACTCACATACACAAAACACACATATGGACTTGCTCATACAAACACCCATGGACACAGAAAACATAAACAAATGTCACCCTCTGCCCATAACTCACATACACAGCCCCTGCCACCCCCTCCCCCACCACAAAGGCCCCAACCCACGAACAGAACCAGTGCCCCACCCACCAACCCCCAAACCACACCCTCCAAACAGACGCCAACTGGTCCCCTACCTACCGGCCCCCAAACCACGGACTCAAAACAAATACCACCCGGTGCCCCACCCACCGGCCCCCCAACCACACCCAGAATACTTACGGCAACCGGTCCCCCGCACTCTACCCTCCAGACACTTACAACCCCCTGGCACCTACCCCAGCCCATAACGCACATACACAGCCCCTGCCACCCCCTCCCCCACCACAAAGGCCCCAACCCACAAACAGAACCAGTGCCCCACCCACCAACCCCCAAACCACACCCTCCAAACAGGCGCCAACTGGTCCCCTACCTACCGGCCCCCAAACCACGGACTCGAAACAAATACCACCCGGTGCCCCACCCACCGGCCCCCTAACCACACCCAGAATACTTACGGCAACCGGTCCCCCGCACTCTACCCCCCAGACACTTACACCACCCTGGCGCCTACCCCAGCCCCCACCCTTAAAAACATTTATCCACAAGACGCCCCGCCCACCGGCCCCCATACCGCAAACCCACAAAAAAAACATAGGCTCATCGATACCCCGCCCACCGGCTCTCAAACCCACACGCAAAAAAATTCCCCTGACCACTCCCTGCACCACACAAGACAAAAAAACACATGAAAACACTCGTAGCCCCACACCCACGATACCTTCTGCACAAAATCCCACTAGCCGCCAACATACCCCCACCACTCACATCCCAACTCCCACCCATAAAAATACAAAATGAGAAAAACAAAAACCAAAAGATCCAAGCCCCCGAAACGACACTGCAGTCTAAAATCACAGTCCAACACCCGAACGCCACACTACTGACGAACGCCGCACCGCCATAGCCTAACACTAAACGACGAACACCCATTCCACTTGCCTCATGCATGAACACACTCCCGCCATAACTCCCTACTCCCCACACTCCTACCCCCATAACCCCAACTCTACCTCCCCACCCCATCACGTGTACCTATCAATACCTCACCCACAAACACTGCCCACCCGCACACCAAACACGCGAATTCCCATACACACCCACACATATATTCGCAAGATCACATACACATACACACATCCCATAGATCAGACACACACACTCTCCCTCGCAAACCCATACACCCTCACGTGCCCCCCCTCCCCGTACACACACACACCCCTCCATCCCCAAACCAATTTCCCCCCCCCACACATTCCCTAGCCCAAACCTGCACCCTCCTCAACCTCTCCCTCAACATCTTGCACGTCAGAAACTTCCCTACTTATACACTATGGAACAGCGAGTCTTGGAAGTCCTCTTCTTCCAAGAGGCTGACTCCTCGAATGCATCGTCCCTGGCGATTCATCTTCCGCTCACTCCCCTACATAGCTCTCTCCCCCTCCACTCTCCTCCTCCTTGCTCCCTCTCCACTCTGCTCCTTCTCCCTCTCCACTCTCCTCCTCCTCTACCTCTCCCTGGCCTCTGCGCTCAAGTGCCACAGCTACTCTTCCCTCCATAGTTGCTGTTTTCTAAAGGCCTCATCATCTCCTCTCTCTCTCTTTATCTGCTGTTCTCAACCCTGGACAACTCTTCAGAGTTCATCGCATCTCTCCCTGAAGTCTGCAATCGGCAGACACTGCCTTCAATACATGCTTGAGGGCCAGACACTGCGATCGGCAGCCGGTGCAGCAACTTTGCGCTAGGGTGATTTGGCGATGGTGGCAATTGAGGACCACCTCTCAGATGCCGACATGAATGATCATGTGGTAAGGTTTGACTCACACAAAACGATACCCCTCTCACCCCAATCACCCCCCACCACTTCACCTCCTACC